AATTTATTTTACTCTTCATAAGGTTCTGTTAAAATCCTAAGTCTTTATTCAGTGCTAACTAAAAATAAAATTTAAAAACTAAAACAATTCTATTGAAACAGTTATAAGGAGTCAAAAGTACTAACAATTTGCTAGTCTTAGTGTCCAAAACAGAAAATTTGATAATTCTTAGTTTGAGGATATGATTTTTAACTTGTAATTATAATAACATTTCACTAAAATTAAATTAACACAGTAGAGTAAATGTGCAACATATGTGTTAACTGTAAACTTGTGGGAGACATAATGCACATTTTTTCATTGGTTAAATGAAATCCTTCACAAATTCTACTTTTGTATAAATTTTCTTCAAAAAATGGTAGTCATTTTTTATATTGTGTTTTAAAGTGTTGATGTGTTCTGCGATCATAGTTTTGAATTGTTTTGGATTTTTAAAATTAATTATTTCGTGTTCTAGTAACCATTTTACTAATTTTTGGCTCGTTTCTTCTATATAAAATGATTTGCAATCTAGACAGTTAATTTTTTCTTTTTAACACTATAATTAGCAATTTGTAAAAAAATCTATACATAAAAACTAATAAATATTTTTCTACTAAAACAACTCTAAGACTAGATTTTTGATATCAATTGACATATAACGAAATTTAACGACATATTTTTAACTTGATTTATTAAATTAAATTAATACTAATTTAAATAAAAATATTATGGTTCACATAATAAATTCTTTTAATAAATGAAATAAAATTAAAGCTTTCCTCTGAAAGATTAAATAAATATCTATGTTTAATTCGAAATTATAATTTGGGTTTAAAATAATTCACAAAATATACAGTAAATATCATATTTAAATAAAAATTTTGTTATAATGTTTACATATTAAGACTTTTACTTTAAAAATTCTTGTTTTCATTAAAATATTATTTATGATTTGCATTCTAAATTAAATAATTTATTAGTGAATTTTATTTATAAATAATTACAGATGTGAGTGAATACTAAATGATGTGAATTTTCTAAAAAAAGTTATAAATTAAAGTTATTTTGGACATGGAAAATGCTTTAGAAATGAATTACCTGTTTGCTTAATTGCAAATCGACTAATTCATTTGCTGCTAAAACAATTTTTAACTGAAGTAAGTTTATATTAATAGACATTTAATTTCTTAAAAAAAAAGAACAAGGTTCATTAATGCAAAATCCCACTTACACCTAATTCTTTTTAATGTTTAACATTTTTTATATACCAAATGCTACTGTACTAGTTTCCAAACAAAGATTTCCACGCGCACACTATGAAGAAAATCTTGCAAAATTCAAATTTTGTATGGAAACAAGTATTTATACTAATTTCCATAACGAGATTTCACCAAACCTACTATGTAAGATATCTGAGGAAATATAAAATTTGTATGGAATTTAGTATAGTTCACCAATTTTTAGGGAAAAATACAAAGAAGTAAAATACAAATAAATCTAATTTCATTTTGATTAAGTTGATTTTGTATACATATCAGGGGTATGTTCATGCAACTTGCCTTAAGGCAAAATGCCACTTACAACTAGTTACTGGATAGTAGATACTTTTTATGATATGGGTGTATGTTTAATTTGCAAAGATCTAAGGTCATAGCATTGGCCTTTGCTTCGGAAAAACAATACGGTTATTGTTACGATATATAAGTATATATATATACATATATATATATATATTTATATATATATATATATATATATATATATATATATAGTTTTTCCTGACTATAATATGCGTTCACTTACCATTGTTCTATTTGATTGCTAGGTTTCCCATGTGATTCCAATCAATGAACCGTATATAATGTCTAGTATTATGTATATATATATATATATATATATATATATATATATATATATATATATATATATTACCTAAGAGTTACGTCACATAGTGTGCATATGTTAATTACAAGAAAAGTCTTACGTAATACTTTTTTTGCTCTCCTATTTCTTGCATATCGATTTCGAGTTGTATAAAAACTAGTGGTATATGGCATCGTGCCTTAAGGCAAATTGCTAGAACTTTCCGTTGCTTGATGAAATATTCGAGGCATTCTTAATGTTTCAAATAGATTATTACTAATATTGTTATTTTTATTATTCGATTAAAATATAAATTGGACGACGTCCTTTATAATAACATTAATAACATGTTATTAATTAATGACCCTCATATGTTTACATGAGAAGTAAATGAACAAAACTTGATTAAGCTGAGTTAAGACTAAAGGACCTTATCTCATATTTCTCAAGAATTATATAAAATGAATTGCAAAGTTTAAATTATTTATTTCAAATCCGAATCATCTTTGACATCTAAAAAATTTTTTTTTTGAAAATTAAAAAAAATAACTTTTACAATTCAAGAACTTTCTTAAGGAAGCCAAAAACTAATTTCTACAAACGAATTGGCCATTTTTATTATTTGTCTAAATTTTTTTAAATATTTGGTATCAAAATTATAAATATATCGCTTTCATGTTTGTGATACAACTTGTGATACAAAAAACAACGATTTTTCTTAATTACGAATATTACAAATATAATTAAAGTTTTTGCATATCATTACATTTCAAAGGTTTCTGAATATTTTGGTACAGACAAAAAAGTTAGGTGTTTATGTATATGTTCGGATACAATTTTTTTGTCAACGATTTCAGGAGCACAGATCAATTTAAATGATTGAAATGAATTAGAACTTTTTTTTTAAATTTAAAAATAATTCAGATTATCAAAATACAACATTTAGAATTAAAAAAATCCAAAGCCCATTAATATACTTGAAATAAATTATTTTAAATTCGTAATTAATTTTATACAATTCTTAAAAATATGGGATTAACAAACTACCCTTAATTAGTTTTGTGTATTTACTCTTCATGTAAATATATTTAAACCTGGTCGTACAATTTACAAGCACTTCTATTTTGTCTATAAAATACTAATAATGAAAGTTACAGTATTTATAATTATCTATTTGAAAACATTTAAAATTTGTCGAATACTTCATTACAGTACGTAAAGTTCTAGAAATTTGCCTTAGGGCACAATTCCATACAGCATTAGTTTGATTAATTATTTGTTAATATTTAACGCAATTTTAATATAGATTTTTTGCTTGAAGTAAAATATTTTTTGTTGTTTGCAGAAAACGCCAAAGAAGATCAGACAGGCTTCGGAAAAACTTGCATCAGGACCGAAATTAGTGATCCAGGTTAGTAAAAGTCTGTTTTAAATATTCATTTTTATATTTAAATGATTTATTTTGAAACATATTTAATTTGTTTAATTTTTGCTTGTAATTTCAAGAGAGATTGCTTTTATTTATTATCTTATAAAATCTTAAGTTACATATAAATATTGTACCACCATAAGGAAAGAATGCAGATATTGAAAAAAAATATAAAAATTAATATATACATAGCACTATTTTTCTGTTAAAATATTCACCAATTTTCCTGATTCTGCAAATGTATTTTAATAATTATTTTATTCATTAACTAAATTTTAATGTTAAATTTCTCTAACAAATATACCCTCTTGAAATACAAGCAAGAATTTCATGTAAATTTTCTTTTAAATTATACTTTTATACTATCGTTCAATTTATATTTATATTTATTGATTTTGTATGCTTTTTTATTTGTGCATTATTGTTTGAATTTTTTGTGATTTTGTGTTTATGATATGTTTTGACTTTTTTGCTCTAAAAAATTTCTAAAAGTTTTTTGTTGTTTTTGTCCATCATTGCTCTATTTATGTGCATGATTGCATAATAAACTAAAACTAATATCATAATTTAAAATATAATAAATAGAACATTGCTTCTATATTATATTTATCATAGCCTTTCCAACGAAAGAAAATTAAATAAAAAAAAATAGCATCATATGCAATTCGAATAAAATGAAATTATTCAGAAAAATATTTTTTTCTTAATTAATAATTTTTACCTCTTAAAAAAAACTATATAAAAAATAGTATTTTTTATGTAGATTTATCTAATAAAAATTGCAAATTGTTAATTATTTTAAATTATAATAATAAACAATAAGGAAAATAAATTCTCTTAATTAAAAAAATATGTTTTAAAGACCTGAAGTTAATATCAGTATTAATTCCTAATCCAACTAATTGCTACATACAATTAAATTAAATTTCTCTGATTTTGTGTTTGTTACAAAACTAAAACATAGTTTTATGAATAAAAGTTTATTATATTCCAACTACTATTGTTTAGAATTAGTTTAGTGTTCTGTTATTTTTTAAAATATTTTTTTATTGTTTTACCAATTAGCAGTCAACTAATGACGTTTGCCTATATTAACGCAATAGACAGTGGTGTATTTTGTGAAAACATCAAGAAAATATGCAAAATACATGTTAACCTATTCCCAGTCGTACTGAACGTGATTACAAAATTTCATAGAAATCGTCAAGTCGTTTCGGAGGAGTTTAAGGACGAACATACTAAAATCTATAAAGTCTTAACAGTGCAAGAATTTTCATTCAAAAGTGTGAAAATTTAAGGTTAAGAATCAAGTAAAAATCAAATGGTGGCTAAACTTGATTACGAAGTTTTATGAAAATCGGTCAAGCCGTTTCGAAGGAGTATTGGGTCTAACATACTAAAATCGCTAGTATTAGAATTTTTTAAAGTATTTTTTCCCGATCCTGAATACACCACTAGTAAAAAGTCTTAACAATGCAAGAATTATTATTTATGTGTTGTGAATGGATTGCTAAATCGTATTTGGAGCTTAGTTCGATTTTTGCTACACTAACAGAATGTGTAAATAAGTTACAGTCCTAATTGGATGATGATGAGAATTGCAGAGGCGGATTTAAATAGATAAATGACACTTGTAATTGGAAATATTGAAAAAATAATTAATTTTTAGTAATAAATTAGTGGTCTTTAAGAAATTTTGCTGGAACTTTCTGTACTTGATGAATTTTAAATGTTTTGGAAATGGATTATTATAAATACTGTAAGTTTTATCAATTGTATTTCATAGACAAATTATAACAACTTATGAATTACCTGACCTTGATTAAATTAGACTTAAATGCAAGGACCTTATCTCACATTTCTAAAAATTATATATATATAGCCTATTAAAGCTTGTCTTCAATTTTACATAAAATTGAAAAAGTGCTCCGCCAAGTCACATTCTAAACAAACTTGTGAATATGATTATACCAGGTTGTAACTTAGACTGTGTCTAGGGATCTTCTTTGTTTTCTTCAATAATTTTCACAAAATCGAAAAAGTGCTCCTTTCAAGTCACATGCTAAATGCAATTGCGAATATATTTGTACTAGGTCGTAACTTGGACTGTGCCTATAGTAACTTCTTTTTTTTCTCAATAATTTACACAAAATTGACAATTTGCTCACATTCTAAACGCCCTTGCAAATATATTTGTACTAGGTTGTACCTTAGATTGTGTCTTGATTGGCTGTTTTTCTCACTTTTTTCAATAATTTCATTTTTTTAAATAATTTTTACAAAATTGTAAAAGTGCTCCTCTAAAGTCACATTCTAAACGCTCTTGCAAATATATTTGTACCAGGTTGTAACTTAAATTGTGCCTATACGGGCTGTTTTTCACTTTTATTCACTAATTTTCACAAAATTGGAAAAGTGTTGCTTTGAAGTCAGATTGCAATTGTGCAATTGTGAATATATTTGTACTATATTGTAACTTAGACTGTGCCTAGACAGGCTGTTTTTTTTTCAATAAATTTCACAAAATGGGAAATTTTTTCCTTTAAAGTCACAATCTAAACGCTCTTGCAAATATATTTGTACTAGGCTGTAACTTAGACTGTGCTTATTCGGGCTCTTCTCCATTTTTTCCAAAAACCTCCACAAAATTAAAAAAATTCTAGTTCGATTTTTACGATTCCACTATTCATTTCTACTACTTCCACTGAACACAAATAAATATTAACATTTAAAAAAAACATTTATTTACATTTTTTCCCTTAATTCGCCTCTGCACTTCAGCATACTCATTTACTTAGCAATCTAGACATTCGCTATCCTTATCACTCTCTCGTAAACGGAAAGAGATACGAGATTGCTATACGTATAGCTATCCCTATCACTCTCTTGTTGGCGGAAAGAGATGCAAGATTGTGTGTACATATATAGTGTGGTGAATAAATACAAGTCTATATTTGTAAAATGATACTTTTAAAAGGGTCTCTGGTTATGTAGTTTACTCAAAATAAATTTTGCACACTTGTAAAAAAAAATATGGTAATGGAATTAGTGGTTTGAGGCAAATTGCTGGAACTTCCCGTACCGAAAATAATCGAGGGATTTTAAATGTTTTCAAATAGATTATTATAAATGCTGTAACTATCATTTTTCGTATTTTATATACAAAATATATTAGTTTTCGATAAATTAGACGACCAGGTTTATATATGTTTACATAAAAAGTAACAAAAACAAAACTTGATCATGCGGAGTTGAAGTCGGAGGACCTTATCTCATATTTCTAGGAATTACATAAACTGCATTGCAAAGTTACAATTATTTAATTTAAGTATATAAGTGAGCTTTAGCATTTAAGCTAGAATTAAAGAAATTAAATTCAGAATCATTTTTAATACTTATTTTTTTTTTTAAAGGAAATTAAAAAAAATATTTAAATTTAAATAATAAAATATTATTTCATATTTTTTTATTTTTAAAATAATCAAAGAATATTTAATATTTAATACTTCTCACAAGTTTTAAAACAATAATTTTTTTTTTTAAATTTTGGAATCTTTCATCAAACTACAAAAAAAAAATTCTTTGGGCCCCAAACACACTTTTAATTTCTGAAATTAATTTTCAAAATGATAAATTTGAAAAATTGACATAATTTATGAAATTTTATATATTTAATAAGTATACACCATATTTACATCTAGAACCCTCAAATCACGAAGAATAAGCCTAGTAACATTAATTTAATTTTTTTTTGTAATTTTTTACACCAAATTGTAAAAATGCTCTTGTAAAGTCACATTTTAAACGCTCTTACAAATATATTAGTACCAGGTTGTGACTTAGACTGTGCTTATACAGGCTCTTCTTTGTTTTTTTTAATAAAAAATTCGCAAAATTAGAAATTTGCTCCTTTAAAGTCACATTCTAAACGCCCTTGCAAATGTATCTGTACTAGATTGTAACTTAGACTGTGCCTAGACAGGCTGCATTTTATCTTTTTTGCAATAATTTTCACAAAATTGGACATTTGTACTTTTAAAGTATTTTTGATAATTAAAAAATATTTTTTGGAATATAAAAATTATTATTAAAATTAAATATGAAAAATATATTTTTCTAACTTCTGAAAAAATCGAAAAATAATTAATATTTAATACTTCTCACACGTTTCCTCGAATTATTTTACTCTGTAAATCTCAAATTGCTTAAAACAAATGTTTCTGCAGGTCGTTCTTTTGTATAAACAAGTGTCAAAATATTTTTATGCAATTTTTTTCAAAAAAAATATTCTACACACACACGATGAAGAATGTCTGTCGAAATTGAAATTTTGTATGGAAAAAAGTATTTATACTAATTTCCATAATTAAATTTCATCAAACGTATTTTATAAAATATCTTATCAAAGTTCTTGCAACTTGCCTCAAGGCATAACACCACTTACAACTAGTTCCATCACCCATTACCCCGTGCAATTTTTTTCCATGAGTAAACTATCACCCAGCTCTCTCTCTATTTGTGTACTAGATAAGGCAACAAATTTAAATCTAACATCGGTCAGTGACAAAGCAACAATGCAAGAGTCGACTACAAATTCATCCACTACGACCAGTAGATCGAAAAAACGTCGAAATCGACGCAAATGTCGAAAAATCGACACGTCGAACATCGAAGACGACCCAGAAGACAGTGGTGACACCACTAAAAAATCACATGATGAAGTAGAAAATTCAGTTAGTGATAAAACAAATTGTGATTTAGTTGTAAGTAGTGATGGGAATAGATCTAGACCTAGACGCGAATGTCAAAAAATCGACACGTCGAACATCGAAGAGGATCAAGAAGATAGTGGTGACCCCGCTAAAAAATCACATGATGAGATAGAAAATTCAGTTAGTGTGAATGATTTATCTGTGAATGATAAAACAAATTGTGATTTAGTTTTAAGTAGTGATGGGAATGGATTTAGGCCTATATCGGATTTTTTTAGTGATGGGAATAGATCTAGGCCTTTGTCGGATTTTGTGAGTGATGATATTCCGACGACTTTGGTGAAATTGACTGGTGGTGTTGTCATCACAGATTTGGATGATGATTGTGTGATTTTAGGTGAGATTGATATAGGTAGTGATGAGAAACTTAATAGGACTAGTTGTGAAAGTTTAGGCCAAGTGTGTAGTGTTAGTACAATAGTGATACCCGAAACAAGTGTTCAAAAAAGTGAATCCGAAAACGAACTGTCTACCTTCAAAGACTATTTACTATCCAAAACTTCAGAACAATACCGTGTAGATTCCCCAGATTTGCCCAAGCAAAAACTAGCAACCAAGAAGAGTCGGAGTTTGGATGAAGACGACACAGGCTTCAAAATTACAGAAGCAGTTTCTAGTGACTCCGTCAACGCACCTTCAGAATGCCAAGCAGTGATCTCCGAAGTCGATTCTGAGGTCGAATGGGAAACTGCAGAAGAACTTGACGTCGAAGAAGAAAACAGCACTCTGGATCTACAAGATTTGTCCGACACATGCGACTCCGAGGTCCTAATCAGCGACTTCCAAATGGAAAATTTTGATGTCCTACCAGTAGAAATCACTGACTTCAAGACCGCCGAAGACGATGGTAAAAATAAAACCGATGCTTTGAACGAAATGCGTATCCGACGTGCCCGTAAACGTGCAGCCTTGGAGTCCCACTTTTTACCCCAATTGACAAACCCAAGATATTTAGACGTCATCCAGGAAGAAAGTGAAAGCAGTGGCAGCAAACGCAATAGTACCGACTTTTTGGATTTCATGCGCACCAACGACGAGTACGACTTGGATGATGATGTTTTTGAAGACCCTGATTCCTACAAAGCCAGATACAAAGGTCCTCAGGAGGTAATGCGTAATTGGACGTGCGGTAAATTTTTAAACCGTGAAACTGGTGAAATGATGCTTGTCCGGGGCCAAGATAGTGCCAACGAGTGCTTGTTGCTAGGCACAAAACTTGTGGACACTGAGGCACCTACATCAATATGCAGCGACTGGGTTAAAACTAACTTGCAGGAAAGTTTTGATGAGGCTCCTGAGGTCGTGTATTTGGAGGAAACACCTTCAAGCAGCACTGGAAGTGTCAACGATGATGTAGATGATAGTGGGGGGCGCTTTAGCCCCGAGTTTGATATTGAAAATGTTGATTTGGTGTTGAGGGGGTACGATGCCCTCACACGCAAAGCCCTGGCAGAAAACAAGATGACTGATGAGAAAGGAGACAAGGACAAAATTTGTACTGACTATGATGAGAAAGGAGACAAGGACAAAATTTGTACTGATTATGATGAGAAAGGAGACAAGGACAAAATTTGTATCGATTACGATGAGACAGGTATAGGTGTAGATAAAGTAGTTTTATTACCTGACAGTGAAGGATCTTCCCGTTGTTCCTCTCGTGCAACATGCGTGCCACGCATGCAAAGTCTCGAAGAAGAGTTCACGGATCAACCAAATGATTGTTTTGCAGGAGGAGTTGGGCCGACATCCCTGAGGACCTTGTGTCTGCGGGCTATTGCTGCCCAACCTTACGGCGAGGACATTCTTCAAGAACTGGCGGAGGTTGCTCGGAACTTGGATATGAATACCAGGAAAGAGTGCAAAAGGTTTGTACGAGATGTTAAGGTTACAACACCACCTGTGGGCATGGGGAGACGATTGAGCACGGGATCGAAATCACCGCCCATTGGGAGTGAGGAGGGTTATCAGAATTTCAGGAGGCAGTCTGGTCCGGAGGAAAAGAATCTGATGGATTTGATGTCACCAATAATGACTGATGATGAATTGGCATCGTCGGAGGCATCCAGGGTGCCTCCAAGACCTGATTTAATAGATCTGGTTACCATTAAGTCTCCAACGCCCACAAATACCAAAGATCAACAGTGGGTTTTAGGAGTGCCCACTAAAAGCGATCCAGGTGTTTTGATGTGCTTATCCAAAAAGCAAACTGAAGTCAAAATTGAACCAAACACCGCCGATGCGATTTTGGATTTGCACGAGAAGTATTTGGAACGTGTGACATCTCCAGATTTTAGTGCCATACCTAGGCGCACCTTGGATCACTATGAGACTACACGTGTTGAAAATTTGTACAAATCTGAGATTTTAAAAACTGAAAACAGTCAGAGTGATGGTACCGATGTGATGTTCAGGAAAACTTTGAAAGTTGGGAGGATCCTGAATACTCTGCTGATGACAGGACTAAAAGGTTGCTCAAGAATGAACTGTTAAGGACTTGCAAGTCCAGTTGTTCAATACCTTACACGTTGGAACAAGATACCAGCAATGTCGATCAGTCAAGTATTGACAGACTCCATAGGTTGTACAAAAGTGAACTACGTTTGGCACAACCCAATGACCTAAGTACCAAACGCAAAATATCTTGCCCAAAAACCGATGATGCATCCTGGATCAAACTCTACGATGCCTCGAGTGACAAAAATTGCGAGGAAAGCATCACCAATCGTTTAACCCAAGACAAAAAAGGTTCCACGGTATCCTTAAACGAACCACAAACAGCCACCAAACATCACGTTGACACCAGACGATTTTCTTTGCCCAAAGAGTTGCACGAGAAACAGATGCAGTACATTTTGGAAAAAGAACGACAGATCCAGAAGGAAATCGATGACTTGCAAAAGGAGAAGGAACTTTTGCATTTGGAGGAACTGGTTGCAAAAACTAGGCAGAAGGCTGAAGATGCCAGGAGTAAAGGAGAGCCTGTTAAATCTGGAGTTGATAGGCGTGGGAAGAATAGAATTTTTGATAGCAAATTCAAAGTTTTGGATGAAATTAGTGAGTTGGATGATTGTGTTGAACGTTTGGAACGACTTGCTGAGGAAGCTAGGAAGGAGGATGGTGTCGAGGCTTGTCTAAAACCCGAGGCTTGTCTAAAACCCGAGGCTTGTTTAAAACCCGAGGCTTGTCTAAAACCCGAGGCTTGTCTAAAACCCGAGGCTTGTCTAAAACCCGAGGCTTGTCCAAAACCTTTGGGCGCCCACCAAAAATTATTTGGTGAGTTAACACCGCACCAACGTTTGATGAAGGAAATTGAAGAGATTGAGAAGTTGAAGTACCCACTTTCAAGAAGTATAGACCAGGATTTTTATGAACTTAAGAAGACATCGGAGGAACCTGAACCGCCAAATCCTTTCAAGAAGTACTTTGATAAAGATTTCAACAGTTCAGAATTAATCCCTAATTTCTCCAGTATTAGGAAAAGTTATTCGCACCAAGATATCTCCCAGACCAGCAAAAAATTTGTTACCACAAGTGCACCAAACACACCACAAAAACAAACCAAAAAGTTAGACTTGATATCACCAGAAGAGCGTTTACGTGACCAAATGTACTCAGAATACATGTCCAAAGTAGCTGAACGTGAAAATCGTAAACACCTACACGTCATAAAATTATCCAAACATCACCAAGAATTAGAACATACTGAAACCTCCAAATTGAAAGCCAAGATTGAGATCAACATGTCTGCACAAATCGAGAACGAGTTTATGGAAAAAGTTAGGAAACGTTGTGATAAATTTGGACTCCAAAATGCGGAAGATGAGGCCCAAGAAGACTTGGCACAATCTGTACCAAACTTGAAAGTATTCGATGGTGTTGGTGTTGATATCTGTGATGGTACCAAGTTGCCAAAACATTTGCTGGAATTTGCAAAACTGGGGACAGATGATAAATCACAAAACCTGGCATGCACTCACGAGCAAGTCACGGTAAACCAAAGGGTTGCTCCTGCAAAACCTAAAAGTGAATTTACTGAGGTTGTGGAGTTCCAAAATTTGATGTCCGACGTGTCCGATGAAGAGGCGTCTAAACTTTTCGATCTTCTGGTCAAGGAAGAAAAACAAAACAAGTACCAGGATGTTGAGGATATTCGGAAGGAAGAGGAGCGTTTGGTGAAAGTTGTCCATCAGGATGTTGAGGATTTTCCTGGAGCCATCAGGAAGGAAAAAGAGCATTTGGTGAAAGTTGTCAGGAAAGAAGAGCAGAAATTGGTGGACGTTGTCCATCACGATGTTGAAGATATCCCTGAATCCATCAGGAAGGAAGAGCGGCATTTGGTTGTCCAAAAGGCGAATGGTGAGTCAAGACTTATCAGAATGAGATATTTTGGAATCGTGGCTTTTGTTGCTGTGGTTTTGGGATGGAAACTTGCTAAAAATGCCTTGAAATAACATTCTAATTTGATGTGCAACGTTTTTTTTGGATGTGATGTCTCTGTGAGATATTAAAATGACTAACAGTTTTTTTTTGTGAAAAATAATTATACCTAAAGGATAATATTTTGAGTTTCTTGTAAGTGAAGTATTGTCTTTTTTGTATAAATTTGTCTTGATATTAAACTATTATTATTATTATTATTTTATATATAAGAATTTAGTTATTAACTAAATTAAGTATTAGTTTATCGAAAGGAATGATATTTTTGTTCTAGTTGTTTTTGTTGCTGTTGATATTAACATTAACATTGTTGTATTCAATGTGATATTAGTTCTAATAAATCTTAGAGACTGAATTGAAAAGATTTTGGTTTTGTTTGAATTGTTTGCGTTTTTGAAATAACTTAATAATAAATAACTAATTATTTATCTAAAATTAGAAATATTCGAAGAGATTTTCAGAGATTTTCAGAGATTTCTGAATATTTAACATACCTTAGAAAATATTTGTGTGTTTGTATGTATTTTTAAATACAGTTATTCAAAAAATGAAAGTTAGTAGGCAGGTAGACAGGTAGATATGTAGGTTAATCTTTAGGTAAACATATAAAAAGGCATAAAGGTAAATGAATAATCAGGTGAAAGGATAGAAAGATAGACAGGTGGATAGATAGACAGATAGAAAGATAGACAGCTTTATAAATACACAGGTTTATAACTATGCAGGCTTATAAATTATTATTATTATAAATTATAGATAGACAGGTTTATAAATGGATAGGTTTTTAAATAGCCAGGTTTTTACATGTGCAAGTGTTTGAATGAATAGGTTTGAAAGTGGACAGGTTTATGAATAGACGAGTATTTGAATAGACAGGTTTGTAAATAGATGGGTAATTTGAGAGGTTTATAAATAGATATACAGGTTTATAAATAGACATACAGGTTTATGAATAGACAGGTTTGTAAATAGACAGGTTTATAAATAGACAGGTTTATAAATAGACAGGTTTATAAATAGACAGGTTTATAAATAGACAGGTTTATAAATAGACAGGTTTATAAATAGACAGGTTTATAAATAGACAGGTTTATAAATAGACAGGTTTGTAAATAGACAGGTTTGTAAATAGACAAGTTTGTAAATTGACACATAATAAATAGGCAGGTTTATAAATGGACAGGTTTATAAATGGACAGACAGGTTAGTAAATAGGCAGACAAGGTTGTAAATGGACAGATAAGTTTATAAGTGAACAGACAGGTTCATAAATGAACAGTGACCTAAACTTTATTGGAAAAACCAATATTTTTGAAAATTAGTTCATACCAAAAAACCGGTTTCAACCGGTTGGGAGTTTTTATAACAAAAATTTTACTCGAATATTTTTTTCTAAATATGAATATTGTGTCTAAACTTTATATTTAACAGAATTTGGTTTTAACTTGGAATTTACCAAAAAAACCGGTTATAAAAAATATTTGCTTTACTATTCTTTTTTTAAATATGAAGATTTTGGCGACTAAACTTTATATTTAAACTTTGCTCGTATATTATTTAATATAAACAAATCATAGTTTTAACTAGGGTTTATTCAAAAACTGACATTTTAGAAAATCGCTTCATACCTAAAAACCGTATGAAGTTTTTATAATAATTATTGGCTCGACTAGTTTGTTTTTAAATATGAAGATTGTGCCGGCTAAATTTTATATTTAAACTTCTCTCGTATATTATATAATATAAACAAATATTTCTAAATTTAGTTTCAACAAACTTCTGCATTTTTTTGTTAACTTCAACTAATTATAAGTTTTTTTTGTAAAAATTATGAATTATTTTAAGAATTTAATTTCTTATCAAATGTTTATTACCAACTTCTACTTATATCTAATCTAGATAAATCCAAGGTCTCTTTGTATTTATTTTGACGACGATAAATTATTTTATAATATCAGAACCAATTTTAACGATTATAATTTTTTTTCGCAGGAACCAATTACTAAATTTAAAGATAAATCGTCTCAAAATTAATTTAAAGCAAAATGTGATCATTTTTGATTTATATATAATTAGATTAATGCATTAATTATTTAATTCAACTACTATTTGTGTAGGCCTTAAATATTCGTCGAAAATCTTAAATGCTAGTTTATGGTATAAGCAATTTTTCTAACTTTTTCTTACACGATCTTTAAATAAAATACTTTGTCCAACATTTAACTTCAGAAGCTTTTAAATTTTCGGAGTCGTCTTTGAGAAAACATCGACCTCTATTTAAATACCTAAAAATACTTTTATCTATCCTAATATTTTTAATTTATATTTATTACTTTTTTCTCACATATTTCTGCAAAATTAATCATACCATCTTGTGTCTTGCGTCTCTGTTCAATAAATTTTTAACAAATTTTGTGGTCCATTATCAATCATCATTATGTCTAAAAGTGTCGTTTTTGTGAAAAATTTCTGTATGATTATTTTATTATCAAGAAATTATGGTTTAAATTTTTATTAAATATCAGTGACAATAAGGAAAATTATACACGAGCACAAGATCAAAATATCTGGTAGCGTGCCCTCAAAATTGCCCTTGGAAAACAAACCAAAAAAAATTTTTGGTGATAGAGATTTGGGACTTTTGGAAGAAATCAGCAGGTCTTTAGTTCTTGCTGGAGATTTTTTGGCCAAACGTGGTATGATAATAATTTATTTTAATTTAATAAATAACCTAAAAACCAAAAATCATAAGTATAATAATTATAATAAATAAATAATCTGTCTGGGTAAAGTTGCGTAACGAATTTTTTTTAAGCTCTGGTCTACTTCTTTAATTTATTAATATTTTTAAAAATCTATAGTTGATTTTTTGGAAATTGTAATCCTAAATTTATTGTTCAGATTTTTGTAAATTTTTTGGAATTTTAGAAACTGTGATATGCAACTAAAACAATTTTAATAAAAATAAACACTTTTAAATTAAAGGATCTCTTCCATATAAATTTCTATTATGGTGTTCCTCGAGGTTAGACATTCGGACCACATTCTTGCTCATTTAAAAAAGTAGTACCTTTTTTTCATAAAATTGAATAAGATCGATTTTTGTATGTTTATATATTTGTGTGTATGTATGTTTGTTTGCATTATCAAAGTTCTAACGATTTAGTACGATTGAATCAGATTATTAGCTAATGGCTCCACGCACGATCCATTTTACTATAAATAGCTACAGCCCACACGATATATTAAAATTACAACGATTCAAAAAGGATATACTCATTATGTACAAAATATATATATATATATATATATATATATATATATATATATATATAGTGTATAATGCAAACCGCAAAGTTTATATTTGGATTTTTAAACTGGCTATAAAGCTCAAATTCATAATTGATTATAAAGTCAATTGCTATTTATTGTTCAGGTTTTTTTAGTAACTTTTTAGTAACTTTTTAGTTATTAAAATAAAGAATAAAAATGTTATTTTAACAGCTAAATAATATTATTTGTTGATTAAATATATCATTTCAATATTTTATATGGAAGTTCATGCAACTTGCCTCAAAGCAAAATGCCACTCAAAATATTCTTAACGACTTGACTTCTAAAATATATTTTATTTTTTCAAAAATTCCAATTTGAATAGCATATTGTCACTGTTTTATATGCATGACGAGTATACACGTCAAGACATAAAATTTTGTCTATGATGGTATATTCATCAATACATAAAGATGTCACTTTCCTATGTCGAGTATATTCGCCAACACTTAAAATTCTGTCACTTGACAATGACGATACAAAAATAGTTAACATTTGTCCATGACGAGTATGTTTATCAATATATAAAATTCTTCTACTTCTTCATGACGAGTATATTCCTCGATGCATAAGATGTTGTCACTTTTTTATGACGAGTTTATTTGTCAATACATAAAATTCAGTCACTCTCCATTATATTTAAATTTTGAAACTTGACCATGACGAGTATATATGTCAAACACAAAATTTTTCCATTCTCCATGACCAGTATGTTCGTCAAGACACAAAATTCTGCTATTTTTCTATTACGAGTATACTCCTCAAACACAAATATTTTGCCACTCGTCATTACATGTAGTACACTTGTCATTTGTCAATGACGAGTATACTCGTCAATTCACAAAATTCTGACACTTATCTATGACTAGTACATTTGTCAATACATAAAACTCTGCTCCTGGTTCATGACTAGTATATTTGTCAATACATAAAATTCTGTCAATTTTTCATGACGAGTATACTTGTTAATACATAAAATTTTGTTTTTTGTCCATGGCGAGTATATTCGTCAATACAGAAAATTGTGCTACCATTCTATGACGTGTATATTTATCAAAACCAAAATTCTGCCACTTTCTATGACAAGTATATTTGTAATAGACAAATTTCTACCACTTTTTTATGAACCTGCGAGTACACTCGACAAGACATAAGATTGTATCATTTGTCCATGACGAGTACATTCGACAATACGTAAAATTTTGTCACTTGACTATGTCGAGTATATTCGTCAATACAAAATATTCTGCCACTTTTTCATTACGAATAAATTTGTCAATACATAACACTTTGTCACTTTTCCATGACGAATATATTTGTCAATATACAAATTTTATGTCAGTTATAAAAAATAGTCCAGGATTCTACCTTAACCTCGGTCAGCTTGGTAACAAGCAGTATGGCATCAATTTTAGCTTGTAGATTTTAATTCGGACTTTAAATATTCAACATGCGCTACGACACACTAGTCTTGGTTTCAATCTCAATTTAGGGAAACTTGATATTAAGCAGTATAACAAATTTCTACTTGAGATCATGGATATCGAATATAATCTCAAGTAAAATTCGCCTCTAGCAAACATTTTCTTCAACACATATAGATATATAAAATTCACATAATAAAGTGGTTGACTAATGGGTTGATCTCGAGAAAAATATTGGTATACATAAATATATATAT